ATCTATACTGGATTGACTATCCTACACCTTGCTGCTAGCTACAGCCGGACCTGCAGGTCTGCGGGTGCCAAACGTCATTTCATTTTACGACCTACATTTGTCGTTGTTTATCCAGTCGATAGTATGGTACAATTAATCACATGATACCTTAATATAAATCCGGTTTAAGGTAGTTAGTACAACAGTAGTTCCTATAATACAACACTACAATACTACATTAATTTACCCTTTACATATTTAGTGATCTTTTCACTTAAACATTAATGTACAAACTATATTTTGAGAATGATAGTTACACTTGGGGAAAATTACACACTTTTACAGTAAACGAACATACAAAACAGTTACGCCTTGGTAGAAGGCTACTTTTAATAGGAAATATAGGTTTTTCTAGGAGATTCAAACATTTACCAACACTTAGAAACGTTTACAAACTCATACTTATAACTATGTTCAAACATTTTGATACAACCACCAACACTAAAATTCTTATGAACTCACCAGCTTAATGCTGATAAACTCCTTCAAAATAACTTGTATTCTCAAGTCATCAGTAGATAGGTACCGATGCCAACTTTTGAGAAGATGGAGCGCATTCAAGACTCATCTTATTATTTTGATTTAGATTTTTGGTGTCTATAACTGTATGGAACACGTTTGTATTAAAATTATATATTTAATGCAATGGGTGATGTTGTTTGCTTGTTTACTGTTATACTGTGTTATGATACTTTACATGACGTCCTCCGCCCCAGAACGTTTCAGCCGTTCTTGGTTTTGGGGTGTGACAGATAGGAATGCATGCGTAATGCATTTATACGCACGTGTCCCATCTAAATCTTTGACCCTATTGACACTTCCAGTCCCTCCTTATCCTTTTTCTTTCAAATTAAATTACAAAATTTACCATTTGGCCCCCTGCTCCTACAAATCCTTCAAGAATAAGTCTGAAAGTTACCAATTACACCCTGCCTTATAAAACCCTTTTCAAAATAAATCATGAAATTACTTCTCGGGGTTCCGGGTTTATTATTTAATTATGTTATTTTAAGCGGGATGTTACAACTCTCCCCTACTTAAATTTGATTTCGTCCGCGAAATCGTATCTCATCATTCTTTACATGCCAGATAACTAGAGCAACACGGTCTCAACTAGGATCATAACCCCAGCCTTTCCAAGGCAACCGTAACCAACCCTAGAAGGGTTCTAAAGCCTGAAGATAAATGAATTCCTTGCAATACGATCACATTTACTCAATCTGAAATTTGAAGTCTCGAGATGGTTTGGCTCCCTGACAGGCCGCCCACGCTGGATCATTACCAATTTCATTGCACTTAACTCCCAACTGGCTACTCAACTTCTAATAACCTAAGGTTCCCACCAGAAAACAGAATCACAAATCACACACTGCTACATATAATTCTTTTCTTGATAAGAGATTAGGTACTCCTTCAAGATAAACCCATTTTGATAATCAATTCCCATGGATATAATGAATAACTGGATGTAAACTGGGAGACAAACCCTTTTAGGATTGACAAGACTATGCTTCCTTTATCCCCAGGATCAACATACGTATAATAACCAGCTCATAAGCACGAACACTCATACATGGCCCAATCAGCCCTGGGCTGGAATACCAGGCATGCTTACGACAGGTCCAGTCATCCTTAGGATGGAATACCGTTGCACCATGTACATCTTTGGCCCAATCAACCCTCGGGTTGGAATAACAAACACGTCAGGTCCAATCAGTCATAGGGTCCAGTCATCCTTGGGATGGAATACCCTAGATCAGAATACCACCATATATGAAACTCAGGTCTAAACTCATAACTTGAGGTTCAAGGACCTGCCCTTGTATTTCACTCAAAATCTTCTGATTCCTCACAACCGATTACGGCTCGCTCGAACCTTAACAATGTGTCCATTCCGAAAGCGCTCCAACAGAAAAAATGAACTACTAAGATCACTAGGTCCACATCTTATGACTGGAATACCCCTACAAGGTCCTCAGAATAGGTTTGGACTGCTTTTGAGCCCACATGAGTCTGGTATGCCCTACCTGGCCCTCAGCTCATGAATGGAATGCTCTTGATAAACTATCAACATTGTCCAAAAGAAAGGCCTAACCAATGTCCTTCACAACACCAAACAGTGCCACGATGCTAAAATCCAACAATGCACGATTCACCAATAGAACAAGTTGCTACCCAAGCAAAATCCTACAAATCCATGGTCGCATGTGACCATAGAATAGGATGATAGTCGAAATCTGTATCTAATTTGAAGACTATAATCTAGACCTGATCAAGCACGTAATATGAACCAACCCTATTGCCACCTTGAACACCCACAGATACACACGAAGAATCACTACCATGCACATATTTTGGAATCCCTAACTCCATATTTACTCGATAAAGCCCATACTTGATCGAGACTGATCTGATTCTACTAATAAAAAACTAGTCCGAGAAGACTTCCATGATTATCCCGAAGGTTACCGAAACCCGAGTCCGGTACGAATCAAAATTCCATTCCGTCATCGAGGTGAAACATACCCCAACGTCTTAGGAAATGTAAACACAGTGCATAAGGGAATTGGTGACGTGTTCCTAGATTTTCAACTGTCGCCTCTTGAATTCCATCGGAGAATTCCCGCTTCCTGAGAGGTTCACTGATTAACGCCTGTCCAACCATTCTGAAACCTGCAAACTAAATAGCAACAGACAAAACCTTCAATCACTGATGCTCAACCTGAGAATTCCCAATTCTCCCCCACTTAGATCATTAACCACCACCAAGGTTGTAAAAATTGCTTGACGGTAGTTCGACGGTCGACTGGTTTTAAGAGATTAATCGGTCTTGGCGGGGATTAATCGAGGATTAATCGGGAACCATAGATTATTATTAAAATATTAAAATTAATTAAATATTAATATATCTTAAGACAAACAAGCACTTCAAAATTAGAAACTAAGAAAAATTGTAATTTGGAAATTTGAAAATACGAAAATATGAACATTTTGATATAATATTTGAAATTTTGAAAATTTTGGAGTAAAACAAGAAAACTGGTTTTTTGAATTTTTTTTTTTTTAAATTTTTTTGACATTTTTTCGACTTTTTTTTTTTTTTTTAACTTTTTTCGATTTTTTTGACTTTTGTTGATTTTTGTTGACCGATTAATCCCACCAAAGCCGATTAATCCCGCCAAACCCGATTAATCCTAAATTTCCGATTAATGCCCTAATTCTTGACGGTTGGAGAACGCCAAACGATTAATCCACGATTAATCGCCGATTAATCCCGATTTCTGCAACTATGACCACCACCCACTGGTGTGAAACCCAAACATAACTTAACCGACAGTCCCTGATGCTTGAATGATCCCACACTCAAATTTTGAAGACCAAAAGATAGATGCTCCAACTAATATCTCAGCAAAGAGCTATTTCCCTTGGCACTTTCATCCACCAATCAAAAACGATTACTAAAACCACTGAATCCTGATAATGCTGAATAACCATCCTGTTGGACCCTATCCGCAGACCTCCCACATAATACCCTTCTTCCCAAATTCCTCTAAACAAGTCTCTCGCTCTCATGATCTAGAAATCATATCATTCAGGGTCTCGAACCCTGACTCACTCACCAACTTAATCTTCCATAATTGAACTGCAGTAGCTAAAGCAACCTCTGCCTTAAACCGGGCTACAACTATTCCCAAGACATAAAACCTAATATCATAAGTGAAATAGATCATACAATCCATCCTTATACTCCCAGTTGCAAAAATCGAGCTGATCATAATCATCACTCCCTTCCTGAGTCCCGCGAATCGCATCCCGGCCTCGAGCAAAACCCCCCATAGCCTCAAATCCAGAAACTTATGTGCTAGCCTCTCCCGCTCAACTTGTGGAATGTAACGAGTACCGAATGTCTCCCTAATCCCATGTAACTACAACCCTCTGCTCACCAGAATACGTCCCAATAACAAGTCTCGGTACTGGAAAGCTCGACCAGCTCCTTCTCCTCCCGCCATTACAGCTGTTGAAGCTGCTGCGACATCCGTTTCAGTAATGGTTGCATAGCGCTCATCAAAATACTAAACCATGGAGATCTTGTTAGAACCAAACATCCCCGAAATCTGACCCAGGGCAATCCCAATCACCTCCTCCCGGATGATCTCCCATACACAATCCTCTGTCAATGCTGGCCTATCCTGGCTGCCAGCTCCCGATCCTGACCCGAATCTGGTCTCAAGACGTCTCATAACCACCATTCTGATAATACACCAGAGAGATCTCAGATAATCCATATAATAACTAGGAACCAACTCCCAACTAAACCCCAGGGGTTGTGACTTCCTTGATACGCGTATGGGTCTTGTGCTTTCAGTAGTACGAGCCCATACTACCTTTCACACCTACCCATATTTGTCTCAAGTATCTCCAGAATGCCCTAAATGTATACATAATATGAAGAGCGCTCAATCCCCACTCCTAGAGGAATGCTAAATATCACATAATTGGCCTACTTAACCCATTAATGACTTAATCCATCAAGTCCAATATTGCCTTACGTTAATTTGCAAATGGTTATTAATTAACATTTTTAGTTTTGTAATTAACTCAAGTGTGGGTACCGATAAATCCCAAAAATTAGGGTTTCATGACATTAGGGTTTCCAACCTAATACTAGCCCATTAGTAACATGATTAGGATTTTAGGTCAATTATGGCTTCATTGGCCCAATTAGGTTTTCATTAGGCCCATTCTGTCCAAGCATCCCAAATGAGTCAAAACCAAAACGAGGCACACCGCCACCCAACACGACGGCTGGTGGCAGCAACCACCACCTTACGGTGGTGGTTATGATTTTTCTATTATTATACTGGCCGATTACAATACATTACATTTTACATCCAAAAACTCAAATAAACACACACATAAATAACACACATAGCCACCCTTGTTGTGGCTGACGGTGGTAGATGGTGGCAGCCACCACCTCACGGTGGTGGTGGTTCACTTTTTGTTCCCGAAAGGGGTTGTTGATCCAGTGGATGATTATGAGGTAATGGGGGATGTGGACACAAAATATGGTGGAGAAAAAATCTATACGATGTTGAGTTTTTTGAGGATGAATACAATGGAAGTAAGGAAAGTGTTAGTGAGGGTCCTTGGAGTGAGGGTAGTAGGACTGTGGGTAATATGATAGATGATGAAAGTGAGGATGAAGACTTTGTTGTGGATTTAGAAAATATTATAGATGATGTGGATGTTGATATGAAAGAATTTCATATACATGTTAATGAAGATGTTGAGTGGGTTCAAAAAACCACCAAAGAAGCAAGTGGTAGTGGTGTTGACTTTACTGAAGGTGAAGATTTGGAGGTCATAGACCCAGAATCGTTTGAGTCACCTATTGTAGATGAAGATAACAACAGAGAGAGGATGTTGAGAGACATAAGAAAGGAAAAAGTTGTTCTGAGGGTGTAGTTCATCAAAAGGCTTTCACATTAGAACAGAAGTTCAAAACAAAGAAAGATGTGAAAGAATATATAAACAAACATGAAGTAGAAACCAAAAGGGATTTACATTTTGAAAAAAAATGACAAAACAAGAATTAGGGCTAAGTGTTAAGGAGTGGTCCCAGATATGAGTGGTGGGCCATGGACAAAGTCAAGGACTGGATTCAAGGACAAAACAGTAAATATGAAAGAGGGTAAATATCCTTGGATTGTACTAGTGTCTAGACCTAAAGATACAGATGACTGGGTGGTGAACACCATAGTTAGTGAACATCGGTGTGTACAATCAAGAACCATTAAAGCTTGCAACTACAAATTCATTGCAACAAACATTATGAAGCAAATTGAGAATAATCCAACCATTCCAATCAATGCACTTCAAGAAGATCTCATCCAAAAATTCGAGATGAACATGTCAAGAATGAAGGTACATCGGGCAAAGGAATTGGCTCAGAAGCATGTTTTTGGGGATTTTCAGAAACAATATGCTATTTTGAGGGACTATGGACTAGAGTTGATGGAAAGAAATTCAGGTACTAATGTGAAGATCGATTGTTACACGGAGCCAAATTTAAATTCTGATACAAGGACATTTAGGAGATTTACATTTATTTAGGAGCATTAAAGGAAGGATTTAAGGCTAATCTAAGGGATTTCATAGAGTTGGATGGTACTTTCATGAAAGGTCCCTATATGTGTCAAATTTTGACTGCCGTAGGGGCAGATTCCAATAATGGGATATATCCTCTTGCATATGCTCTTATTGAAAATGAAACCACAAATTCATGGACATGGTTTTTGGAACAACTTGGTGATGATATGGAACTTTATGCTAATTCAAACTTCACTTTCATCTCAGATAGGCAGAAGGTACATATACTTCAATTTAATTTGATATTGTTGTTATTTAGTCAACTAAGTATTGAAATATTTAAATAGGGTATCATTCCTGCAATTGCCAAACTTTTCCCTCAAGCTGAGCATAAGCTCTGTCTGAGGCATATTTATGAAAACATGAAAAGACAGTGGAAGGATAAAGAGCTCAAAGATTTGGTGTGGGCATGTGCAACTGCTACTACTGTAAGGCATTTTGAGAAAGCATTAGAAGAGCTAAAGAAATTCAAATCTGAAGCTCATGATTGGCTGATGTATTCTTAAGGCATTTGAGGGAAAAAAGTACCATAGAAATTCAAAGCTGAAGCATCAGAAAAGGTCCTTTATATGTTTGTATTCTTAAAGGTTTTTTGCAAAATATTTGTAAACTTAAGTGTTTTTTCACAAAAAATAAATCATGGTAATATGAAAATCTTCTATTATATGTAAAAAGGGCAAAACCGATAAAAAATGACAAGTTTAGAGCATAAACGAACAAAAAAATATGTAGAATGGTAAAATCGATATTTTCTACCAAACTTAGAGGTTTTTATGACATTATCCATAGTATTTTTTATATGTTTAAACTAAAGAATATAACATAAATAACTTGTAGTAGTAAGTCGGAAGAATTTATTGGAATATTGAAACATTTTTCTCTTCACACTTCAAAAAAATTACATGCTATGGGCTGAAAAGGGTATGATGAACATAGGCCTAAATGAACATACTCGGCCAAACAATAAGTAACAGAACCGTGTAATAACTCACCGGACCGCTAAAACCAATACTATTACACTGGGCCAAATCTGAGGTAAGAAAAATTCCATGCTTTGAATGAGTCGATTAAAAAGGCTTAAATACTGAACATTAAAGAAAATTGTAGTCTAGAAATAAAATTGAGTATTCTCTTGCAATGAAAATGAAAGTACAAACCGAAAATAATTTTAAAAATATTATATTTCATTCATATACAATCATGACATTGAAAACCACCTTATTTATTTTGGATACTTTAATTTTGATTTATCTTTCCTTGTTGATTGCCACATCTATTTGTGAAGCCGTCCAGGGCTGATGTACAAGTTCAATAACTTAGATATGTATGCAAATACAACCTAAAAGGAAAAATATTAAACATTAACTAAAGGTATTTTATTTTTGTTATAGGTGGGGACGTAACCAAAAAAGTTGCAATAGAGGAAATTTGGAAAGGAGATTGTTATTCCAAATTTGCATATTGGGTCGCTCTCTTTTTTTTTTTTTTTTTTTTTTCAGACAAGAACTAGGAGTATGTATGGGTCCGTGTTGGGTTGGTTTTGAACTAAAATCGAATCCAATCCGTTAATTTCGGTTTTAAATAATTTAAACCCAAATCCAAATCGAAACCAATCGGTTCGGTTTTTTGGGTTCTCGGTTTTCAATGGGTCGGTTTTAGGTTTAAATCAACTACAACCTTACTTTTTGATAGAGAATCAGTGGTATTTCCTATATAAGAGAAGAAATGGCTTCATGTTTGTGTATTGGGGCGACGTGCATAGGGGCTGCGGAAGGAGTGACAAAGTGGACAACTGCATAGGGTTCGATTTTTTTTTGCGACCAACTTTATATATATATATATATATATATATATATATATATATATATATATATATATATATATATATATATAAGTAAGAAATTTATAATAGCGATAAAGGCAATTTTTTCTAGCTTGTCTAGGCATTTTAGCATATTTATATCCTTAAGACCGGCCTTGACGATGTGGGATGCGAACTAAACCTTCAGAATAAAACCCAACATAAAAGAGAAGAGTTGGAGATGAGATTCAAACTCGAGACCTGCGGTACTAAACAAGCTTATATGTTGAAACACTTAACCACTAAACACACGATTTGTACATGTTTTTAAATCATTGAAAAAAAATATATACATATGAGTTTGGTAAAATAAAGTGAGCATGAGACGTTGCAAATAAGAATCCAACTAATGATCTCTAGTATAATGAAATGACACTTTAACCATCAGACCAAGCTTCTATTTGTCTTTCTAACTCACGCAAATCGTATATATACTTCGATAATTCACAAAATACATATATTTCTTAATATTCGGTTCGATTCGGTTTCTCTTGGTTTTAGCAAACCCAAAAACCAAACCCAAACCGAAATTTTTGGTTTTTGAAAAATCTAAATCCAATTTGTCGGTTTATACTTCAGTTTCGGTTTTTCAGTTTCGATTTTGTAAGTTTTATCGGTTTTTTGTTTTTCGGGTTCGGTTTTGCTCACCCCTAACAAGAACACATGCTGAAAGGTTATTGATGGTATAAAGCAAGATTTTACATGTGTTGTGACCGTAATATATCGATTTAAGTTAATTTTGATGATTGTATTAATAAAAGTTATATATTACTATATTTATTAGTAGATAAATATATAAAGTCGGTATTATTGAGTAATTCCAATTTATACCATCAAATGAAAATGTATTATATGTGACCAAACTCATATATAGAAAACCGTCATAAAATTAAATACAAAAACATACACAAAACTTACGTTTCACAAAGAAATTTGAAGTTATACCGAAACGATATAAAAATTAGCAAGTAGGATTAATTTTTTATAGGTTAACAAAGAAAGTTCAAATAATCAAAAACGTGTTATATGTGAAACAACTTATACTTGTGAAGTGTACATAAAAATAAATATGTAAACATAAAAAAATTACGTCAAAACATAGACAAACTTGAGTTTATACCGACACATACTATTGAATATGATTAAAATCAAAGCATGCATGTGATATTTTATGTTTGGTGACACATTTCGAAAACTATCGCTAGAGAGTTTGGCAAGTTGTCATAGCTTCCTTGTTCAATAAGGCTACCGTTTTTACTTAGGCGTTGTTTGTTTTGAAAATGATTAAATGTCTTTTGTCTTTATTCAAGTTTGCGAAAGAAGACGAGCACTTGCGAAACGTCTGCCCGTCAGAAGGGAAAAATGTTCAAAAAGTACTTTTATAGAAAAACAAACGAGACCTTACTCTCCAAGTAGAGTTCCATTAGGACTCTTATTAGTTATTATATATACAAGATATTAAGATCTTATTTTCTATTTATCCTTTTCAAATCCGGTCATACACCCTTGTAACCGTTTTCAACATTGAGATTAATATAGCGTGTGTTCTAAGTGGGGTTTTTTTCCCGATTTCGGGTTTTTCCACTATAATTCGGTGTTCATTTGATTGGTTTTTTACGTTCTTAATCTTAAGTGGTATCAGAATTATGGTTGTATCCTAAATGATATGGTCAACGCAGGTGGCACAATTCCTAGTAATTCTCAGTCAAACGAAGTTGATCCTGAAGTCTTGTATCGAAAGTCTTCCCGATAACCTAGGTCAGATGAGCGTGTCCCGAAAGTATTGGTGGTATGAAAATGAATTGGATCTGATGAACAGTCGTTATGGGGAGGCCAAGGACAGAACTTGGGTTTGAGGGGAGGATTATTGGGGTGCAAACCCAATCCCACATCAGCAAAAAGAAAAACTAGATGCTAACATATAAAGTAATGTGTAATCCTTTCTATTACCAATTGGTCTTAGAGAATAGAACCTCATTGTTTAGTAGCAATTCTAACAAGTAGTATCTGGCTTAAGGATCCTATTTTCGTTATTAATCATGTTTCTTAGCCGATTATTATTCCGTTGGAGATTGAGTTTTTCTTGGCCATTTCAAATTGATATGACTTGGCTGATTATCCTTCTATTGGTTTTTTTACAAAAACATTCAGGGTCTGATGGATATTATATGGTCTCATCCTACTACTAGAATCGATTTAAATAGCCCTTATATAACCTCATATGAGATTTTCTTAGATACATAGACGTTTGAAGATAAAAACCACATCCACACTTTGGTCCTTTTTCTTAAAAGCAAAAAGTTTATTTTTAGGCGATTTATACTCTTAACAATTATCGGCTTCTAGTTAAACCCTTCAAAGAGTTTGGGCGAAGTCGGTTTTATATTAATCATTTGAAGGTACATGTTGTTTGGTCGTTCTTCTCTCCGGCACCACCACCAACACCAGAGAGTCT